GAAGCACGTGTTATGCCAGGCCACGGCTCGAGGCGAGACGCTCGAAGACCAGGGCCTGTGCGGGGATGCCGAGAGGCGGAAGGGAGGACGAGGCCCACCAGGAGGTGGAGGAGGAGCGCGGCACTCTTTTGCGCCCTGTGGGACGCGGCACCCTGGATCTCGTCACCGCGGCCACATCCGCCCAGGTCGGGATCTGATCGCTTCCGTCCTCGCGTGGCATGGCACAGACGCCACAGCTTCGCTGCCAACGTCCGGGCAATGCAAAAAGCGAAGATGGCACTGTTGCGCCCTGGTGCAGGTGGCATCCTGCAATTTACCACCAAGACCTCATCGCCCAGGTTGGGCTCTGATACTTTCGTCTGTCGTGTGGCACAAACGCTACATCTTCGCGACTAAAGCCCGACACAGAAACATGAATAGTCAAAACAGAATCGAAAACCGAGAAGCGTGACGGAACTGGACCGACACGGAGCAAAATCCAGAATACTCAAGAACCGAACCGAACCGAACGAGGCAGAACCAGAGCCAAACCGGGGATGCCGAACCAGACCAGAGCCAGACCGGGCGGCCTCCCGACCGAACCGAGAAAAACCGGCCCGAACCGAACCGACCGTCCGCCCAAGCCGAACCGAAGCGATGCGCTGGCACCCTGGGGGAACGGTGAAGATGGAAAGGCATACGCCCAAATCGAGGCGCGTCGGCGCGGTGCGCAGATACACCCAGGCGAGCAAAGAGAAAGGGCGGGTGCAGCTGCTCGGCCCACTCTCAAGCCAGGGCGGCGCCAGTGCTCTGGACGTGCACGTTGCTCAATGCTACGCCGACGACCGACGACCGACGAACGACAGATGCCAATGCCGACAACGACGAGGGACGACCGATGGCGATGGACACCGACGACGACGAACGACGACGACGCCGACTCTCCAGCCAGGGGGCGCGAGTGCTCTGGACGTGCCTGTCGATCAACGGTGCAAGTATGATTTCAACGACGATGACCGACGGCGATGACACATGACAAATGAGAACGACCACGCTGACATCAACGAACGACGACCGACGACGACGACGGACACCGACGACGACGACGACGAATGAAGGCGATGTCGACGCCGACGCCAGCGATAATGTAATGTATACTTGAGGAGATGAAGAGACGAACGGAGGGCAGGGGAGGGAAGGAGGACTGGAAGCTGGGGTGTAGAGGGGGAAGATGAGGTGGAGGCGAGCCTGCGAAGAGGCCAAGGAGGAGCAGGAGGAGCAGGAGGTGGACGAGCTGGAAGAGGAGGAAGGCCGAGCAGCGGAAGGGGGAGGTTGGGGGGGAGCGGGAAAGGGAGAGGGAGGGAGAGGTGTGGGGGCTGACTGGAAAGCTTACAAGGGCACGGACGCCATCAGGCTAGAGAGATGGATAGAAGCGGATGGCGGCACGAGCACATGCCACTACCGCCATCGCGTGTCCAGACGGAACGCAAACACTGCGAAACGACGACCGAACAGTCAGATGAGCCGCAGAAGGACGTACAGGAGCAGTAGGAGAGGGGTCAAGAATCGAAGGAGCACGAGGAAGCAGAGAACGAGGAGAACGGAAGCTGGAGCCACATCTCAGACCTTGGCGGTGCCACAGATCGACGCCCCTCCCCTCCGCCCGACCTCCTCGTCCTCCTCCCCTCTTTCTCCTCCTCCTCCTCCTCCTCCTCCTCCTCCTCCTCCTCCTCCTCCTCCTCCTCCTCCTCCTCCTCGCTCCTCCGCCTCCCCAGCGCCAGCTCGGCACAGGCAGCGCCCGGCATTGCCGGCCCGCGCCCCTGGCGCCTCCCGCGCCGCCCTCCCCTGCCTCTCTGCCTCTCGGGCCATCCCTCCCAGGCCGAGCCACGGTGGGTGCACCCCGGTGCCGCTGCGCCGCAGCGCTGCCGCCCCAACCGGTCAGCGGCGGCCAGGCGGGCTTACAAGCCTCCCCAAAGATAGATTGAAACGCTGTTCAAAATCGAAGCGCTCGATGGTTCGGGAACTTGTCAGAAAACGCTTTCTTCAATACTGTGAGGGTGCTGCCGGATTTCGGACACCTCTGCGTCTGGGCCGATTGCCTCATGCCAGCACTGAAGTAGCGCTCACCACGCGAGCACCGAAAACAAAAACCGTCAATCTATGTTTGACGAGTCTAGTAGTAAGGTCGGCGCGGCGCGGTGCTCACGAAGGCCTTCAAGGGATGAAAGTAGGGCGCGCTAGGGCGCGCGGCCCCTCCTCCTCCTCCTCCTCCTCCTCCTCCTCCTCCTCCTCCTCCTCCTCGTCTCCGCGGGCCGCGGGAAGGCGTAGGAGCAAGCGCTTGCAAGCGCTTTGGCGGGGGGGGGGCTCCGACAGGCTGGCGTGAGGTGCGAGTCTGGGCAGGTCCGCGCCCGGACCTGCCACGCCTGAGCGCCCGCGCGCATTCGTTCTAATAACTTGCAAGAGTTTCACGGATTGAGGGCGGTTCATTTTCAAAATGTGGCTCTCGCCTTGGCGCCGCGTACATTCCTTGTCAAAGATTGCAAGAGTTTGATCGGGTTCCCATCGTCAACGTACCAGAAATGGCGTTCTGGCAAGATTCAGGATTATCAGGGTGCAACAGTTACGTTGATTCGCGGTGTTGAAGTCCCAGGTCTTGGTTTCTGGCACCCTTCAGGGTCGTCAAGACGCAACAGTCAGGTTCATCTGTGGCGTTCGAGTCCCGAGAATAATGGTTTGGCATGCTTCAGGGTCTTCAAACGTTGTGTTCCAACGAGGCAGTGCCCTCAGTGGAAATAAATCCTCGTAGTGGCCTATGAAGAGGGAGCTTGGAGGGAGGGTTTATTCCAACATCTTTGATGACTCTTCGGTTTACACTGGTCCTCCTCCTCCTCCTCCTCCTCATCGCTATCACCTCCTCATCATCATCACCAGCATCAGCATCATCATCATCTTCAGCATCATCACCAGCATCAACAACAGCAGCAGCAACAGCAACAGCAACCGAAACAGCAGCATCACCAACCTCCGCAACAGATTCGTCTGCATCAGCATCACCATCGTCGTCAACATCATTATCATTATCATCCTCTTCCCCATCATCATATCATCATCATCATCATCATCATTATCATCATCATCATCAGCATCATCAGCATCATCATGATCATCATCATCATCATCATAATCATCATCATCATCATCATCATCATCAGCATCATCATCATCATCATTCTCATCAGCCCCATCCTCATCCTAACCCTCATCCTCATCACAATCCTTGGCATCGTTACCAACATCGTCCTCGCCATCGTCGTCGTCGGTCACGTCACGATCAACAACATCATACTGACAATAGTATGCATAATCGCCATCATCATCATTAGCATCATATCATCATCCAGAAAGAAAATCAGCATCGTCAGCACCATCATCCGCATCAGCATCGCCATGAACATCATCATCAGCATCATCATCAACAACAGCATCACCATCACCATCACCACCAACAACAGCATCATCACAATTACCATCATCAGCACCAGCACCAGCACCACCATCATCAATACCATCCTCATCCTAATCATCGTCATCGTCATCGCCACCAGCAGCACCATCATCATCATCATCATCATCATCATCATCATCACCATCACCATCATCATCACCATCATCAGCATCAACATAATCAGCATCATCATCATCATCATTATCATCATCATCATCATCATCATCATCATCATCATCATCACCATCACCATCACCATCACCATCATCAAGATCCGCCTTCCCGTCCTCGTCCTCCGCCTCATCCTGCGTCTCTCTGCCTCGGGCACGAGCCCCCCCAACCCAACCACCCGCAAACAACCACACCTTAAGCCAAGACCCGCCGGCATGGCCCCAGTAACAGCCCTGGCGGGGGCCGACGCACGGCCTCGTACATCACCTCGCTGCCCTTCACGATGCGGCCGATGATGGTCTTCACCTCGGCGGAGGGGACGGGGCGAGGAGGGGAGGGGCAAGAATTCCTTGGGACGCTGCTCATCCTTCCTATCAGTGTGGGCTGTCGACATGTTCGACGCCCGCGATTGGAGTAGGAAGAGGCAAGCTGGGTGCGCTTGCGCCGCATCTGGCAACCTCGGGAGAAGAAGGAGGAATGGGGCGAGGTCGGCCGCACTTCACGGGAGCCTCCCATACCATCGCGTAGGCTCTTGCGAATCGACGCTAGTCGACGCTAACCGACGCTAGATCGACGCTAGCCAACGATACATCGGCACATTTCATCGACTCCCAGACGCTAATCGACGCTAATCAAAGCTTAAGACGGCATTTAGAGCATACCAAGCTCCCATGATTTACTACCGGAGGCGAGGGGGGAGGAGGGGGGGGTGCGGTTTAGGAGGCGGTACGGGCTTCTAGGTTGCTCTGGAGGATTACGGCCATGAGCTTTTGCTTGGTGTGTCGCTGAGGGCGGCCCCGGCAACACGGCATGCCCTGCGAGCGGACAGCGTAACGCTCCGCTCCGCGTCCGGGAAGCTCGGCAAGGCTCGGAATTCGGGGGAGAAAAAGGTACCGACACCTCTAGCTTTTCCTCGTTTTCCCCTGTCTGGGCCTCCTCGGAGGCCCCCGCTGCCACCGCTGGATTCGCCCCGAAATCCTCGTCAGAACGCAGCCCGGGAGAGGTCCGGAGAGTACGGTCGGACCTAGGACAGAAGAACATCCCTCAAGAACTTGAGACCCTCCGCCAGCCCAACCACACAGAACATCCAAGGGTACCCTCCCCAGGATGCACAAGAGCATCCAACAAACACGAAGAACACTAGGGTACCCTCCCCGAACCGACCTCGATCTTATACCTTGGTCCGGCTGTAGCGGTATTGGTACGTTTCGGGTTCCCCAGAAGCGTTGACGCCGGGGGGACCGGGAAGTGGACAGCGTGTCGCGCCGAGGCGTCGACCCAGAGCCGCCAGCGTTCCTGACCATGCAGAAGCTTCCAGGGCTGGTCCTCTTCTTCCTCCTCCTCACTCCCTCCCTCCCAAGGAGGAGGAGGGGGAGAAGGAGGAAGAGGAGGAGGAGGAGGAGGAGGAGGAGGAGGGGGAGAAGGAGGAGGGATCGTGGGCGGGAAGCGTAACTGCATCGACGGCCTCACAATCCAAATTCCTTGGCCGCGACCCCACGGGTGCGGGACGACTTTGCGCAGATGTCATGCGCAGAACGCACCCGTGGAATCGCGCATCCAAAGGACCGCGTCTCGGTGTCCAGGCATCGAGGGCATGGGCGGAGGATGCACAACTGCGTAAACATAACATGTCGGAGGTCCGCACGGGCCTCCAAAAGTCTGCACTCCTGGACCCACTCTGGGGTCTGTCCAGGCTCAGGCCAGCAATCTTTCATCCTGGATCGATGCTCAAGACGGCCCGGGGGCTCGAGAACGGCGCCCCAGGCGCGCAAAAGCAGACGAAACAGGCCGACCCTCGAGCATCTTCTCCTCGATTCCCTGGCCGCGACGTCATGGATAGACAGTCAAAGGTGATAGTAAGAATGCGCGATAAAGATGCAAGGGCCTTGGACGACCATGTCGAGGCTCTTCGGGCGAGGCTGGCCATCGAAAATGGTTGAGGATGGACCGGGGATGGCCGAAGAGGCAAGGATGCAAGGATATCCGTGGGAAGTCGGTCGTCCTTGCTAACGGTGTGGGCTCTAGATCTGTTCGACGCTCGTGAGCCTAATGGGGGGAGGTGGGAACAGACAGACCGACACCCAAAAGAGCGCGCGGAGCCCAGGTCGGGGCGATCCCCCGCGGGAAAACAGAACACCCCCGGAGATGCTCCGTGCAGCTCCTCGGGACACAGCTGAAGAAGTTGGCTACGAAAGCGTAGTTTTTTGTAAAGAGAGAGAGAGAGAGAGAACAACAAAAAACACTAATAATAAATAAATGTGAAAACGTATCATAATGACGCAAGACCCGTGGAGGCCGAAGTTGGGATGCTTTGGGCGGCGGGCGACCAAACCCCAAGGGTACCCTGAGAGACTGGCCAGTGGAAGCGGCAAAGGACGGGACGCAGAGGCAAGCACACATGGGTGCCCTGGAAGAGGCGCGCAGCCTTACTGTGCGCGTTGACTGTGGGCCCCTTCGCCGAGGGGGCAATCACTTGGTTGGTCACAGCGGCGCGGAGCCACGCCGCGGTCAAAGGCAGCCGAGGGGCACCACGGGACCGAAGCCGATGAGCATTAGAAGTACCCCTAACCCTTTGGGAGGGAAGCTAAGTTAGGAGGGCCACAACATTAGGGTCAGGGGGTATTTCCTGCAGATGTATCAGACCAAACCGCCCAGATAGATTAGGGGAACGAACAATGACATACACATAAAAACTCGGAGGTCCGCGCGTATATCTCGGATCGGCGCTGGACCCCCCTGGCGGCACCTCAGGCGCAGCCCCTGGAGCGCTCCGCGACCCAGGGTGGGGAGTCCAGCGCCGATCCAGAAATCCGCGCGGACCTCCAAGATTTGTATGTTTATGCCATTATCCGTCCCCCTACTATCAACCAAGCCGCCCAGATCTATTATCCCTAATGCGAAGACGGGGACCTCAGTGAGGCCACATCGTCATCGTGTTATTCGGGTCAGTGGCTCTCCTGTTCTCGATTCGAATATGGGGATCGACTACAGAGTTCTTGACTTTCTCGTCGAATCTTCGGGCAAATATTCAGCAAGGTTAGTGAGCTTGCGGGCATTATGCGCAGTCGTCGTAGATTCGATGGGGAAAACAAATGTTGGGCTTAATCAGTGTTGTAGTCGGTCCCATATTCGACCGATGGGAAGTGGGCACAGCAGGGCCAGGAGCACTCCAAAGTGGAAAACCAAAGCACGAGGAGCACAAAAGGCGCGCCTCCCAGGCAAGGGCTGCTTCTGGCCCTCATGCCAGCTGTACCCTTGAAGCTCCTCCTCCTCCTCTTCCTCCTCCTCCTCCTCCGCCTCCTTCTCCTCCTCCTCCTCCTCCTTCTCCTCCTCCTCCTCCTTCTCCTCCTCCTCCTCCTTCTCCTCCTCTTCCTTCTCCTCCTCTTCCTGCTCCTCCTTCTTCTCCTCTCCTCCCCCCCCCTCCTCCTCCTCCTCCTCCTCCTCCTCCTCCTCCTCCTCCTCCTCCTCCTCCTCCTCCTCCTCCTCCTCCTCTACCTCCTCCTCCCCAATGGTCCCCAGAGCGGGGGCAGAACGAGAGCAGGTTCAGCATGGAAACTGCGCGCGAAAATGCCTTGAGGCGGGCGCTCGCCATGGAGGAAAGGGGTCAGTCCTCAGGGAAGCGAGTCCTAAACTCTGGGGCGTTTCCCGTGGCCGCTTCTTCAGAGTCGCTTCCCCAGGGCCTGGGAATGCCCCCCAGATGCCAGAAGTGCACAAAACAACTCCAAGACAAGGTTCCCACCAAGACCCGCTGCCTTCATAGCGAAACGTTTCTGGGCCCAGGGCGTCATGTTGAGTCCTTGACCCGTCTTCGAGTGCCCCGAGCCAGAAAAGGGGCCCTGGAGGCA